CTTTTGACCATTTGACAGCTGCTTGTTTTCATAACCATCATAGGTTTTACCATCTCCCACAACAAAAACAATTGATGGATTCGTAGAATTAGCGGGAATTTGAGCAGCAATATACACATCTGTTCCAAGTGTGTTCCACTCAGAGACCTCGTCAGTCCAGTCATTCACTTGATGCACCAAAACTTGAGAATCACTGTCATTATCAGAAAAAATAAAAGCAAAATAGAAAGACACATGTTAGAAAGCTTTTGCTTCTAACTGCTCATAGAATTATCCTTACAAATACTCTAGGTCCGTCCTCAATCAAAGTTAAAATGAACCCTCAGCTAGGAACGTCTTCATGGGGGTGGGGGGGGGGGGAGGGAAGGTCAAAACTATTTAATCCATGACTTCCGTACTCTTGTTTCTAACAGTATTACACATAACGATCCGGTGATAACGTGATAACATGATTCGGTAAGACACTGGTTTTGCAAGTCTTGAAGTGCAATAAATTCGTCACGAAGACGAAGGAAAGGAAACCTTTCCAGTTTCCTCAGCCATGTCTTTGTACCCAGTTAGATCATTGGTTTTAAACTATTAACCACAGTCAAGTGTAGTATTTATTGCAATAAAAACCACAAAGGGATAGTTTTTTTTTCCGTAAAATCCTTAGTATTAATAAATAGCACATAGTAACCTCTTTCCCAGGGTCCCCTCCTTCCCGTCCCTACTTAGCAAGAGAGAGATAGACCGACGGGTAGGAGAGAAATCCTGGGAACGTGGTTGTGATAATAGAGAGATTTAGAGTCACTAAGGTTTTCATACTAAAATTTATAAGGCAGAGTGACAATCTTTCAATAAACCAAATCTTGCAAATAATGATCTTGTTCATAACCGGGGTTTGGGAGTGATATAAGAGTTAATATGATGACTGCTCGTACCTAATGGGACCATTGGTTTGTTTTGCAGGCCACACCGTGACATTCACAGGCGTTTCGTTTGTTATGATTACTTGGACTTCGTGGTAAACAGGCGCCACAGGAGCTGTTAGGTAAACAAACAATAACTGTAGAAGCGTTTACACGGCGGGGAAACTGGAAATTCGATCGAGTGCAAACTCAAGTTATTCGCTCCATTCCATCTGGAAAGATTCTGAGAATAATTTTTGGCTGTCGTTCACCGGGTAATGATTTTAGTCTCTTTAGCTGATTGCTTGTACTTTGTAACCGTCCCTGCTCCCAGGCCAAATTTAGCGGTTGTTTTCTTTTTAATCGGATCACGGTTTGAATAATTGATAAGCAAGATTCCTAGACGATATTCCTAGAGGATATAATTATTGAACAAAACAGACGCACAAACAAATAGTAAATAACTTGCCATCGACTTTTGTGCTTCCCTGCGCGATAGAACTGTTGCCTCCATAAACACAGTGATTTTCAGCCCTCACAACAAATGTATACTTTGTCCCAGGGTAAAGATCAGTGATGTTCATTGTTAACGTCGGAGACTCCGTTTCTTGAATTCCAGTATGCGGTTTAAATTCTGGATAATAATCCTTTGTACCTTTATAGATTATCTGCGGCATAGATAAATGAGTGCTATGTAATTATATGGTTGTCTATAAGGTTACGTTGATATGGCAATGGACGAAGTTTCGACCGGTTGAAAAAGTTGACCGGTCACTTTGTTCACACGGAACCGCTCAATATTTTCGCTCTGTTCACACGGAACTTTGAACCGCGTACTGTTAAACTGGCTTTGTGTGTACGGAACACCTACGCGCGAGAATTTTTAACTGGTCGAAAATACGTGCGGTGCCCTATGAAAATAGCTTTAGAATACATATGTACTTTGTATATGATGTCAGAGGACTGGGGTGTAGTGTGTAGTCGGTCTCACAGTTGCCTTATTCACCCGCTTGAAAGCCGCCTTCGCCTCACCCAATCAGAAGAATGAGGTATTTATTCGTGGATAATATATATATATATATATATATATATATATATATATATATATATATATATATATATATATATATATATATATATATATATATATATATATATATATATATATATATATATATATATTATCCACGAATAAATACCTCATTCTTCTGATGTGGTAGTGTAGAGCGTGATATATAAATATAGGAAAACTAACAGACAACTACACAGACAACTTGGCACAACTTGGTAATCTTCACCTTCCAGACAATTACGATTCTATCTCAGCAGAAAAGGCAAGGCGTTACAACTTTCATCTCTCCGTTCTACATAGTATTTACTAAAATATTTAACAATTATTCTACGAGGGCGCGTTGGATATGAGATGATAGATAGCCAACGAGGAGCGTAGCGCCGAGTTGGCTATAATCATCTCATATCCAACAAGCGCGAGTGGAATAATTGTTTTATTAAAAACGCCCACAAAATACTAGAACAAACCGGAAAGGACAAGTGCTATTCACATGTCACACGTCTATCAGAACTGTCAACGCGCGAACGGACTCGACTGCATGAATGAAATATCAAAACATTGTAGCGATGAACATTAGTTTTTTAAAAACTCATCTGGATTCTAGGATTTTACAGAGCAGAACAGCTAAATAAACCTGGCAGATAATGTGAAGGAAAAGAATTTTTAAGTGACAGCCGTCGAAATTACTGTGAATTTGGATTTTCTGTGCAGTTTTAAAAGTAAGAACAACGGAGAAAAACTATTACCTCCGTCGCTTGTTATGAAGTTGTTTAAAGCCACAAGCTGGTTTTGCTGAACGAGAAAAGAAGCTATACTGCCGCCTCGATTGCTCTAGTGAATGGCTGCATAGCCTGTATTTGTAGCTGGTTACTTGTGATTTATATTCTTGATGCCGGATAAACAAGCCGCAGTTATCTATCGGCGAGTGACTCGATCGGCGAATGGCTTCGCGATCATGAAGAAACAACACTTGTCTTTTTTCGTAGCTGGTCAAGGTACTTTTTGTTCCATGTGTTTTCATGTGTTTTTCGACAAACTTTCAAACAAGCTCTTGTGGCTTTTTTGTTTGTTTTTGCCTTTTTTCTTTCGATGAAATTGCATTTCTAGTATTCTAAGAAATGAATTAAAACGATTTGCTTCGGGCGCCGTTCTATCCTTGGCGAAAAAAAAATCTTAGCTAGCTTCCAATTTTAAACTGACGCGTACACCGACCATTTATGGAGAGCATGGTATATTAGCTCATATACCATAACGGCTAAGCCAATCAAAATGCTAGAATTGCATTATCCAATGATTCAGTTTTTAATAAATAGATTTAGCCAGGGCTAAAAGCGAAGCTCTGGTTAATAATACGTGTAAACAAAAAAAATTAAATCGTGTAACGCTAAACGGGGGACGACAATGAAAATAGCTTCAAGACTAATAGATCTAATTAGCAAAAAAACAAATTGCACGTGCCGCACACTTTTTCTTCTAATTAGCAAAAAGCAAATTTGCACGTGCAGCACGCTTTTTTGTCTTTCCCTTGCCGTTGTTTTGCACGACTACAACACTGTTTTGTACGACTAAAACGTCAAACTTCCTAGTTACACAATTTTTATGGAGAAATTGTCGTCTGTGCTTACCCAATATTTTGTTTCCAGTGTTCATGTTCGCTTTTATTTTTCACTGCCGCTCATTTTCACTTTGCTGGCCGCTAGCATTTCTCATTTTCTAACCGCCGCTTTAAATTTCCATGTTTTTCTTCCAACTAATTTTCAATAACTCGCTCTAGCTCTTTCTCTGTTATCCACGTTAGTGTACACTTAAAAAATAACGCCGAAAAAGACACGACTTTTTTCTTTGTAAAAGTCCGGGCGGCCATGTGATTTCCTTCCAAATAAAACCTTGAGTTGCATTTGGGTTCCCATACCTGTTGATTGAGTTATTTTACATTGGTATGCCTGTGGAGCGGACGGACGGTCGCTCGATCGCTCGCTCGCTCGCTCGGTGTACGGTCACGTGATTACCAAATTTTCTGGGATGGGTAGATTACCACATTTCCTTAGCTATGGGGCTCCGCCCAAGCGCCCGCTTCGCGCGCGGGTGGAGCTCCGCTATGAATTATCATAATTGTTGTGAGTGATTTAAGAACTGTGATTTTTAAATAAACGCTGCCCTCGAATAAACGCCCCATCGGATTTAATTTGATAGAACATTAAAAAATACGGTAATCCACAAAAAACATTGCAAGCAAACAGGCAAGATTTAAACGCTCTTGACTAATGAACACCTTAGGGAACGATTCCAATGACTGTATTAATTGATCCTTAGGGTGGATTTCCACTGTCGCGTAAATTTTACTCGCGTAAATAAAATGGAAACAACATATTAGACAGATTAAGCATCGCATTTACTGCAAACGGCAAACGTGAGATTCAAGTTGAGAAATTTTCAAAATGAGAAATGAGCTGATAAAAACAGCTTAAAACATTTGTTAGGGATCGAATTGGCGTGAACCTACTGTTTTTCGTACATGTATGAACAGTAAACGATAAGTAAATGGAAAACTTTGTCACGTGGTACAAATTCACGTTCGCTGTTTGCCGTAAACACGATGCTTACTCTCTCTTATGCGTGTTAAGCTTAAACGTGAAGTTAAGCGGGGTTCAAATTTTACTTTTACGCGCGATCTCTCATACATTGCCCCTCTTTTATTTGCTAACGTATATTTTACGGATGTATGCACGTAAAAATTACGCGAGAGTGGAAATCCACCCTTAGCCGACCCTTAGCCCATAAACGTATGCAATAGCATACGAGTATGCCCTTCTTTTAGGGGATATATTGAGAAGTCACGCGCGAGTAATACGCGACAGGACACGCGAGAGCGAGGGACGTCTCTCGCGCCTAAAGAGCCAAACGATTGCTTCCTGCAAGTTGTGGTTTTTAATCCTGTTATGTTCTATTAAGATTATTGTTTCAAATTATTTGAGTCACTCAAATAAGTGCTGTAAACCAGCTGGATAAGCTAAGTGCACTTCCATTATATACAAAACCTAAATTTTCTTTATAAAAAAGTCGAAGGTTACCTTGTAACGTCTTATATCATCCCCGTGTAGTTTCGGTTTACCCCACCGCAAGGTTATGCTCCGTTTACCAGGATTTTCCGTCTTCACGTCAGTTGGTTCCCCAGGAACTACAACAATCGGTAATGATCATTTGCAATGATTGCAAGGGATGGACACACTTATAATGTATGAGAACAGTCAAATATATCGCCCTTCCGGCAAAGAACATTATCGAAAAATCACTCAAAACTGCGTAATGTGCTTTCTTTGGAACGGAAAGTTTTCTTGGATAGCTTAATGGTAGTTCTAACTGTCGAAGAAGCCATTCAATTTCCCTTGGAGATACCTAATCCCAACGCCTCTCTTTTTTGGACAGTTCTTCTCAAAGATGCAAAACTTTACCTATCTCTATCTCCCCGACTATAAAGGGACAATCTCTATAACGCGCATGCTTGGCTCTGTCCCGATTTTGTGTTCGTATTAAGCAGATCTGACTACATCGAAGTACCTGAATTCGCGATGTTACGAGTAAGTCTACCAAAGACTCCTGGGCCAGCAGAAGTGTAGGCTCGTACTTCAACTTTATAAATAGAACAAGATGAAAGACCAGTTAAAACAACAAATGTATCTGTTGCGTTTTGTAGGACTGACGGAGTGCATACGGATCTTGCATTACGTGAAGTAGAAAGCCTCGTCTGATTCACTTCATAAGCGACCACTCTACCATTGCTCTTGTCTCTGGAAAGAGGATTCCAACTTATTCTGTAAGTTGTTTCGTTTATTTTTTTAGAGGTTATGTTTTGAGGCGACGTGCTTGGTTCTGCAAAAAGAATTTTAAAAAAAGCAACTGGTGAGAATAAAAACTTGTGATAACCTAAAAATTGTAAAATGGCATTATTTATTGAATTATAGGGTGAAAAATTTAACCGTATAATTAGTTAACACACACCATAAATTTCCCTGACCACGATGCTCATTGGCAGAAGTAATTCAACATATGGACTTGCGAATCTTCCTCTCTCTTTGTAGGAGTTATAGGGCATTTTAAGTAAGAGGAGTATCTTTCTTTTATTTCTGGGACTTACAGCTCAGAGATGTAGCTTCCCAGTGCTTATCATTTCCGTTACCTTACGAATTCCGTTTACACAAATCATCTGTTCAAAGGGCCGCTGATACAACAGCACTGAGAGCAGGAAACTGAAAAGTAAATACTCACTGTATTCTGGTACTTGTTTAGTTCCAGTTAGCATTGGCCCGGGTTTAACAGTTTCTGCCCAAATTTCAACACTGTACTGAATTCCACCGAAAACATCTAGACTGTACCTAAAGGTCTTATTATTTGTTTCACTTGTAATGGTAGTTTGCCTTCCATCAATGGTGTAGGTGAAAAGTAATCTGTATTTTCTGATGAAACCATTTTGTTCAGCAGGTTGTTGCCAGTTGACCGTCATTCTGGGCATTGTACTTTCACTTGGCTCTTGTAAGTTGATGACCAGCATCAGAGGTTTGCTTGGAGCTAAATATAAGAAGAGACAGAGTTGTTCGTGTTTAGGAAGTGATCAAGGGGGAAAAGAAGCAGATACTTGTAGAACAAAAAAAAAAAAAAGCTGAAGTAAAACACGTTTAAGTTAAGGATTATACAAACCATCTTCTCGCGTCCGAACTTGCTTTTCAGGACTATGTGGACCAAGAAAGTGGCCATTACTGACTGCGATTCTAATGAAATATACTGTCCATTTCTTCAGGCTCTGTAAAGTCTTCTCGGTTGATGAGTCACTGACATTGACTGTTGTCCATGAAGGTTTCCCTTTTTCCTTGTATTCAATGCTGTACCCTCTAAAGGGTCCGTTTAAATTGGTGGTGCTTGGTGTCTTGGACATGAACATACATGACTAAATTAGTGTTCAAGTAATACATCCTTAAGTAACCTCTCCTCCCATTTAACTGCCTTGCATGCTCATACGGACATACCCATGGTTATCTTCTGACATTTGCTTGCAAGTCACTACTGTCATAACTGCGAGACCAGAATTAGGAGACCGCGGGACCGCCGCAGATTACGGTAAATATCTAACAAGAAAATCCTCCTCCGTGTAATATGTTGCTACTGTTTTTTGTATTGGTCCTCCTTCTTCGTTCTTTTAGACATACTTGTGAATCCACAGCTGTTGCAAATATATTTTATATACTTTATACCATAGTTAATTAAGTGGAGTATATGAAGCTAGTCAAAGTTTTTTTTTCAATGTGTTTTTGTTAGCTTTTTAGGGGCTTGACGTTGCATAACTTTCTATATCATTTCTATCAAACCGCATTTATTCAGTCAGTCACAATTCATGAATAAAAAACAATGGATTGTGTTATGTCATGGACCTCACTTCATAAACTGCAGCCCAAAACTGATGTTCGCCGGCTTTAATAACCAGTCTCCTCCCCATTACCTATGTTTATTTTCAAACCTTTTAACAGTAAAATCCACTCAAAATGATAAATTTGCGGGGTTGATGTAGACAATTTCAAGCCTAACCTTTTTTTTCTTGTTTACACAAAGCCGTGAACATATTAAATGAACAAAGATGGCACTGGTTACACAGGTTTTTCTGTCTGAGGAAACCAGACTCCTACACAGTCACCATTTATGAGTTATGCGTTTCGGGGTAACAGAGGATTGAGGCGGAGGGGGAGAGGGAAGAGTTGTGGGAAGGGGCGAGGGAAAGATCAGCGCACCTCAATAGCGACTGGGTAATAGTCTTTGGAGAAGCATGGAAATAATAGGCAACCCTCCTGAGAAACGAAGTACTTATGGACTCGAAGGAGTTTTTGTTAAAATAAATCTGATGTTTACCTGCCATTTCACAAGAATTGTTTGCGAATTATGGCTTGTCACACTCACGATCTGGACATCGACTTCAGGCCCTAAAAGGGAAAAGTACAAGTTAAGTTTAGATCGATTGATACTCAATCTGAATAGTTCAGTCTATCCTATAACCGGACGCCTGATTACTCCAAGGAAAAACGCCGATTTAGTTTGCATACACTCCTTTCTGTGTCACAGGTTTTCAGATTTTAATGGAAAGATATAAGATGATAACTCCAGTAGTTAATATTTCATTACCCGATTGAGTGGAGTCGCTAAAACGATGCGGTGGTCAGTGTTTTGGAACAAGAACGTATTATATAAATTATCATTCTTAGCACTGCATCTAATTTGCATCATCACTTACTGGCAGTTTTTGTTGTGAAATTCGTGAAATTACTCCACAGACTCTTTCCTAAGACACTGTTGGCTAACACCCTAACACTGTAGGCTGTGTATGGCTTGAGGTTGATAATCCGTGTACTTAATACAAGTCCCAAATGTATATCAAGTGTGGAGGTACTATTTCGATACTCAAGATTGTAGGCAGTTACAGGCATTTCATCGGCTCCAGGATTATACGGCCATGTGACTAATGCTGATTTTGCTTTAACGTCACTTGGATTAACTTGAACAACTGGCTGGCCTGGTTTCTCTGAAAACAACAAAAATGTGCCTCAAAATGAGCCTTATTTATAAGTTTATCTAATACCCAGCACTTAAACTGTTGAACAAGTGACAAAATCAACGAATAAACAAACGCGTTAAAAATACGTTACCCACTTAGAATACGTTAAAGGTTGAGGTATTTTTTAGAAAGTACTTCCTTGTTCATATAATACCGTTTACAGTCATGTATGGCTGGAATGCAATATTTTCGTGTCCTTATAAAGGACTTAAATTATGTTAGTTATTGAAAACTGCGTGATCTCATATATTAAATTAATTTTCACAATCACAATAACAAGCAAAAAGGCGTTCCAAGGTACACACAAATTGTTGCTTACTTAAGGACACTATAACATTTGCAGTGGTCAGATAACTGCCTTGTATTCCAGAAAGTGATGTAGAGCATCGGTAGGTTGAATTACACTGGACTCCTCTGGCTGAAGGGAGCTTTCTTGTACAAGAGGTATTGTAGATATTACTGGCATTGTTGTATGGTATGGTAAGAGAGGAGGTTGTGTCAGAGAGCCCCGCTCCATCTTTGCTCCAACCATACCCAGATGGTTGTCGGGGGCTGTAACTAGCCACACAGGTCAGGGTCACAGATTCACTAGTGTCGGCCATCAAACCAACATCATCAAGATTAACGTTTAACGGCAACGAAACTTGGTCTAAAAAAGACAAGCAAATATTTAATGTAAAGACGACAAGACAAACTTATCAAATACAATATCTCAATTTTACACTCCATTAGGTTTATTGAATTTGATTGGCTGAGAGCAGTAATGCAGTTTCAAGATCGAGCCGGGGTTTAGCGTGTGTGGGGATTATGCGGGGGGAGGGAGGCGAGAAAGTAGATTTGATACAAATCCAAGATATATGGTGGCCGCCCGTAAGGTAAAGCGGTCGAACTCGATGAACTTACGGAAAGTAGGGGACTGGGAACAGCCTATAAGTAAACAGAGTGCAAAAACGAGGGAATATAATTCAATTTTCAGAGAATGAACCACTGTGATTGGCAAAAAAACAATAGAATTGTTTAACAACCAATCAGGTGCCGCAAATCTTTATTGGCCACTTTGAGGTTGCGAGTGAGACTGGATTGAGGTGTTGTGTCGATCGAATTGCATTGTGGGGATGTTTTGTGGACGAATTTTGATCCGGTGAATTTTTGCCCGTTTGATACTTTTTTGAAGAACACACTCGTGCAAATAAATTGACAATTGAACTCGAAGTTGTAGGACAACCTATACAAACA